ATGTAAATGTATTTGGAAATCAAATTGTATTTCGATATTCCAATAATAACACAATTAGAAAAGAAATAATCAAACTATTTGGTAATAAAAAGAGAATAATATTCTTCTTACCAAATAATCCAACAACATCACAAATTACTAATTTAGTAAAGGAATACATGCCACCTGGTATTTATTGCCTTCATTTCCTAAATAAATCTTTAGAACCTATTGTGATACGAGCATTACAAGTATCGTTTAATTCGAATTCATTTACTTTGTACATCTCGAACTCTTTATTAGAAGACATCACAGAAGTTGATCTTCAACAAGAGAAAATTCAGCAATATCATGAGACTAAAACCTCTCATAGAGGAATCACTGAAAATATTGCAGCCTTAAAGAAAAGATTCTATTGGCCCAATATCGAGAAAGACGTACAGAATTATGTCAAAGTATGCGAGATATGCAATAAAACCAAGTATGAACGTCAACCATACAAAATCATATTCAAACCAACACCCATTGGTATGAAACCCTTTGAACATATTTATATTGACACGTATATAATCAATAACCAGAAATTTCTGACCATTATTGATAGCTTTTCAAAATTTGGTCAAGCCTCTCCTGTAAATACGAAAACAGCTGTTGAGATATCGTCACAGTTATTGAAATATTTTAGTGATCATGGAATACCTCAAAAAATCACATCAGATAATGGAGCAGAGTTCAAAAATGCTATAATGACAGATCTTTGTACATTATACAAAATTGAGATTCATTACACCACTCCAAGAAACCCGAACTCGAATAGTCCAATCGAACGATTCCATTCGACACTACGTGAAAGTATGAGTTTAAAACTCCAAAACCCGAATAAGAGTATTATTGATCTAATGACAATCGCTATATTGAATTATAACAACCGTACTCATAGTACAATGAATCACACCCCTTTTCAAGTGATTAAAGGAGATTTGAATTATGCCATACCGATTGAACAAACGGAAAATAAACTAACAACTGACTATATAACAAGTTTGGCAGAATCCCTTGCGAATTTGAATAAAGAAATTCAAGAAAAATTATTAGCGAAACAAACAAAGTCTTTAGAATCACGTAATAAAAATCGTGAACCTGAACCAGAATTACAAGATCTAATCTTTGTAAAACAATTTAATAGAGACAAGATAAGTCCGCGTTATGACAGCAAAATCGCTTTGCTAAACAAAATATTAAACGACAATAATTTATTTCAGGTACTCCGAGATGAATCCTTTAGTATTCCTAACTCTCGTTGGAGTCACCCAAGCGTATACATTGATGACGGTGGAAAATCCTATTTTACCAATTTCTTTAGGAACTACTTACGTAACAACTCAACATAACACGGCCTATTATCACATAAGCACGACAATTATCATACAAAGTATCCATAAACTGGAAATCACCTTAATGAAATTATCTGACACTCTTAACAAAACAACATGGTCAAACCAATTTGTTGCACTGTTTCAAACAAATATTGAAAACAGTCATTCTCAAATTAAGATTATGAAACAAGTAATCAGAACCTATCAAGACCGAAAACGTAATAAAAGAGGTCTATTAAATTTCATGGGCACAGCACAAAAATGGCTCTACGGAACCCTGGATGCTGAAGACGGCGCAAGATATGATTCTTATATCCAGACGCTTAATGATAATCAAAAGACTCTCAATGAAGATCTAAAAACACAAGCTCAAGTATTGAAACAAGTTACAAAAACATTTCACGATCAATTTTTAACTATTGAATCTATCCAAAAGGTTATCACAGGAAAATTACAAAATATTTCCTTGGAAAACCAAAATTTCCACTCAATGTTAACCTTTAATCTAATATTGAACAACATCAATATTCAAAGTAATAAAATAAGGAATCTTATTGATCATGTGCAATTAGCAATAAATTTTGCACAATTGGGAATAATGCATTATACTATTTTACAGCATAATGAATTAAATCAAATATTAACAAATATACCCAAAAGTCAGCAAATACCTTTTGATAATAAAATTAAGTATTACGAGACAATGAAAACTCAAGTAAAAATCCAAAATGAGTTAATTATATTTGTTATACACACACCAATGATTGATCCCAAGCCCTTTATATTGTATAAAATCTATCCAATTCCTATCCAAGAACTTACCATTAGGAATAAGTACCCTTACCTATTACTTAGTACGGACATTTACTACAATACGTTATGGGAATGCCCGAAAGTCGAAAGTGTGTACCTTTGTAACCAAGAAGAGCTCAAGCAAGAAGAATTATGTGTCTACGACCTGATTACTGACCTACCACAACAATGTCCTTTCACTAAAGTGAAATATGAAAAACCAACAGTGAGACAACTCCCGAATGGACAACTATTAGTCATTCCTAAAAAAAGCCTGACCATAGTTATTCAATGTGACAAGACAAACCATATGGAAATAATAACAAATCCAACGCTAGTTTCGTTTGAAAAATGCTTTGTGAAAATACAAAATCAAACATTTTCAAAAACCAGCGAGAACTTCAATTTTGAACTGAAGATTCCAAGAATAGATATCCCTGAACTTCCGGAGAACGCAACAACATTGGAACTTCAAGAAATCAACCAAGAAGACTTAGAAGAAGCCTTCAAGACGACGAAACAAATAGGAGTTCATAATCTAAAAGAATTGTCTTTTGAACACTCTTATTTAAACACATATGTAATCATAGGTTTAAGTCTTGCTATTTTATTTTTAATTTTATTGTTTTACTGTTTTAGGAAGTTTAAAACTTCAGAAAAAGGTTGTGCAAATGTGCAAATTGAATTGTCTGATTTGAATTCACAACAATCCACGTTTGCAACATCTTAAGGAGGGAGGAGTTATATTAACCAATTGCCATGCTGATTTATAATCAATTATCTATTTTTTATATGCTTTAATTTGCTTACCCCTTTCCTCTAGGACTTTTTAAATACATTGTTGTAAAGTAAACATCAAATTGCTATGTCGGCATTAAATGTTTATTTAAGCCGATGCCGTCCCATAAGGAACGTTCATTTGTTTTCTGGCTTTAGCCTGTAGCAATTTGATCCGAATATTTTCTTTTGTCACCTCTGTATTTTAATCAATAAAATAAATGTTTTTTAAAAGACAAGTTTCTGAATCGAAAATATAATTCGCGTTTCGATAAACTATATATATAAATATAAAAAAATCTCTCGACAGTAGTAGCTAATTTCCCGTCTCGGATTGTAATAAACTATTTCCAGATCACAAATATATGGTAATTGAAAACTAGTATATCAGTGAGATGAATTAGAGAAAAAGTAACTCCAAAGATACTCCTCATATTCAATAGACCTCAATAAGGATGCTAAAAATAATGTTGATCATGTTGGCCATGCAGGAATAATATTGTTTTGGTGGAATCTGTTGATTCCATGAAGTGGCGTCGGTAGGTTAAAGGAATATTTAGACTCACCAATGTCAATTAGTACAATAGTAATATTTATAGCAATAATTTTAGATATTTTGTCTCAAGTGAAATTATGAAAACTGACAACAATATTGAGTTAATTTTAATTCAAGGATTTTAAATATTGAGTAAAATAAAACTTATTGCTTGACAATTATTTTCTGCGAGGAGTTTTTGAGAACAAAATATTGAACTCGATAACAAATTCCAATAAAATCCATGAAGCGGCATATAGAACTTTCAGTTTAAATCGCATTATTTTCGACTGACGGATTTTCCCCAAAAACATTCTGTACCAGGCGCGGACACTTTGACACGCGACATAGAGACAAACCACCACCATATCGCTGCGATTTCCACCAGATATTCCTTCTCATATATCCTAGGCGTGAATTTCGATTAAAAGTATTTATCCCGATTCAAAATTTTTCCACATCGGGGATGAATATTTTTATGTTCAAGCGGTCTATAATTTGAACCTTTTTGTCGTCAACAGTTGACACAGCAGTAACCCATTCTGTACCTAGGACCATAAAGATTTTAATGTATGGGGTAATTTGTTAGTTTTTTTTCTCGCTAGATGACAGCAGCGTCAATCAGCGCTATTATGTTTCTGTAAGTAATTCTGAATTTCTTTCTCGCTGATGACAGCGTCAATGACCAAGTTTGGATATTTACAGTTTCCACCAATTTTTTCGTTTACATTTTTGTTCCATATCATGGAACAAATTATTGCATGAGTAAAGTACGGATAAGCAAGTTGATGTGTCTGCTCGTTTATACCTACGAAGGTCCATGTTCCGAGCAGTGAAATGTGTTCCGACTGACCACTGACCTTATATTGATTTGACATTTGAAGAAAACAGACCTAACTTACGTCGTAAGTTATAGTGTCAGCTTTTTATTTTCCCGGAAATTGATGAAAATAGCATTGATGTAGTAGTGGAAGGAAAAATTGAAGAAAAAATGTTGTACGTCATATCCGGCCTAGAAGTTCATTTTTTGTTTGTCTCAATTGTCGAACATTGAGCTCAGCACAAAAACAGTCACTTCTTGGCCTAATAAAAGAATTAACTAATAAAAGTCCCTGCATAAGTTAATAACCTATTATCTAGAGCACACCCTTTTTTCTGTAAAAATTGATCTCTTCCTTGTTTTCTTATTTCGTTTAATAGTCTGTATGCGTAAATGCGAATTTATTTCTAGAAAACAGACGTGCCTTTATATACAAAATAAAAACTCCAAAAATTATATTTTAATTTTGGGCCCTCATCCTCCTTGCGTATCTTCTCCAAAGTCTGTAAATGTTTGTTCCGTCGCAAGATTCTATCCCCTTGCTAGTCTAAATCGGAAAGAGTAATTTCATTGCTAATGATAACAATGTGTTAAATATAAAGTGAAATTGCCACCTAGCTGAATCCTAATTCGCATCCACCACTTTTTGCGTAAGTAGCATCAATTAAAATATTTCGTCTGCATGTACCTTAACTAAGCAAGTCAAAATAATGCTACTTACCCCATCAGTCTTAAGTCGAATGTCCTTTCCAGCTGCAAGCAGCAGCGCTCTCAAAATAGCGGTGGCCGTACCAGTTTGTCTTGAGGCTACCAAGTGTACCGCTGTTTGGTTCCGACTCTAAAAACATGAAAATTTATGGTAAGATTAAAATCATTTCACGACTTACAATAGAATTCAAATTGTTGGGAATGGGATAAGCAAGTCCATGGTTTCGGCATTTCTTGGAAACTGAATATAAACTAAAATTACTTGTGAGTGGGAAAGTTGAGATAGAGACACGAACAACCCATGTGAAAAGGTACAAACTTTTGTAGTAAAACTGATCGAACCGCTATTATTCCAGGGGAAAATTTCACGATTTGCCTTTGCATTAAACAATTTTAGACATGCAAAAGGTTGCGAGGGAGTATATGTGGTGATAGTTTATAGGAAATTTTTTGGATTATTCGTATATTTACAAAAATAGCATGTAAAATATTCCAGTCAATTTGTCGTAAAAGGTCCTGTTTGTACACCTGACACGTGAAACATCAATACTATAATAATATTATTTAAAAAGTAGCATGTCCCAATATCGCTTAAAAAATGATTTAGTTATTGAAATATTCGTGTCTCATCGAGTGCAAAAAAATATATGTACAGGGTGGCCTATCACAAACGAAACGGCATTGATTTTGGGCATTTATTGTCATATAAAAATGAAACGCTCAAACACGTCAACTTTGTTTTTGAGAGAGACATTTATTAGGCGCATAAGCCAACCCTCATCTGCAATCCCTTGGGCAGGGTGAAACTCGCCTCTAAAATCTTAAATAGAAAGCGGGATTGAGTTGCATCTTGTTTGAAAGGTCTTTCGATTCTCTTTACAATGATATCTGGTTTATGACATTACATTTCATTATGACGCTCAAAAATTAACTTGTATTTCTGTTATTAGGAGAAGTGATTTACAGTATTAAAGAGATAACAAATTTAGTCAACTAGATGTTGAAAGTGCTAAATTTGTTCCTTTTGTATTTGGAAACAACTGGAATATTTCGTTTATCTACGTGCTGCAAATTTACGGGAGCGAATTACAAATGAATGTCATCTCATAATAGGTACCAGATATGCTTCAAAATGTGAGAAACCGTTTTGAAGAGAACCTGTACCGTACCACTGCATTGAAGTTGGTGGTCAGCAATTTCAACATCTACTTGACTATTACATGTAAGTTTGTTATCTTTTTAATAATGTAACTCGCTCGTCCTTATAACAGAAATACAAGTTAATTTTTGAGCGTCATAATGAAATTTAATGTCATGAACTAGGTATGATTGTAAAGGGAATCGAAAGACCTTTCAAACGAGGTGCAACTCAACCCCCCTATCCATTTAAGATTTCAGGTGTTAGTTTCACTCTGCTCAAGGAATTGCAGATGCGGATTTGCTTATACGCCTAATCCATGTCCCCCTCGAAAAAAAAGTTGACGTGTTTGAGCGTTTTATTTTGATATGACATTAAATGCCCAAAATCAATTCCGTTTCGTCTTCGATGGGCCACCCTGTATATGTAAATTTAAATTGTTTTCAATAAATTTAATAAGTTTTTGAGTTGAAATTAAACGCGAAATAACCGCGACTGAAGTGTATCGGGCTATCCACACTCGATACTCCGATACTCGTCAAACTACAAAAAGAGTAGACTCCAAAAATTGACCTCGTTCAAGGTCTCTCTGAAAAGTAAAATGACGTTATTTCTAGAAAGAAAGCGAGTATAGATATTGTAGTTAATACGAGATCAAAAAGAAAGAACAAGAGTCAGAAAACCTAGTAGGTACAACATAACATAACATGAGCAATATTTCTAGGGAAATGCGAAAAGATTAAAGAGCCAAACAAGGAGTGGCATCCACGGAATATTCGAGTACCATAGAGCTCAAAAATGGCCAGTTGCTTCGATCTCTTGACAAATGATGTTTTTATGAAAACGACCTAAATGGAGTTTTCAGGAGCAACCTGGTCATTCTCTCGACTTAACTACAAAATTCCCGCTTTTGGCTGTTCATTCTATCCATTAGCAATAGCAGCAGCATCGAAACCTTGGTGGTTTGAGTTGACCGCGTAGAAGAGTGCTCACAAGATATCCATTTTGCTGTCACTTTCGTTGTTGGCTTCACCGCATAATCGTTCTATTTTCTTCTCCAATTTTTATATTTCCTTCCGAATTTTTCACGGACCATTCCTATTTCGCCTTTAACTTCTTCCCTGACCGTTTCTTTTCTGCATTTAACCTCTTCTACTCTTCTGGATCTCGGATCGTTTCTATTTCGCTCTGACTTCTTGTCGAATTTTCTGTAGCAAACCAGCGATTTTGTCAACATTTTCTTATCTTCGTTCTTCTTATCTTGTATATTTCTTTGGAAGTGGTCCTGTTCCTTTCATTTTTCTTTTCACGGTGTTTCTTAGTCGTCCTGTTTTTCTTTGAGTCGTTTTTTTTTTCTCGTTCTTCCCAAATTCAATTCAGCCGGTCCTGTTGTTCTTCTAATTCTTTAGATCTGCTGTCTTCTTGTTGTTGCGCAGGGTTCTATAGTTATAGATTTTTCATCTTCATCCTGTTTTTATTTCAGTCATCTGTCTCCTTTCCTGGTTTTTCCTTCTGTGTAAGTCTTCTTGGTCTTGCAAAATTATCTGCTTTTTTCTCGTCCGCAACTCTCAATAAAACGACCACTTGCTGACCCTCCGTTTTGGAGGTCTGTTGTCTCGTTTTAACTTTAGACGAAAGTTGTTCCACTTTCTGACACCAATTATTACAATGTTTCTAGTTTTATAGTCTGTGCCACTAAATTCATTAACACACCAATTATGACGCATGCGAGTTCGCAGATAAATGAGACTACACTGACGAAAATTAATTTACATCTTTCAAAGACAATCACGAAAGCCGTTCAATCAAGCATTGTCATGTCTTTGAAAAAATGCCTCCAATTTTATAGTATGAACATGAACAGCTTTTTGTTTTCTAATATGTCTTGCCAAGGTTCCTAATAAGACAATTCCATATAAATAGAAGTGGGCAGCTCAAAAGGGCGAAATCTAATGTAAAATATAAAATCGTGTTTAATATTTTTGTTCTAGGTAGGACATTTTATAGTCCAGCTTGTGAACTCCACGAGTCACTATACTTGCGTGAAGCTAATCTATCAATTTGTTGAGTTGCAAAAAACTTACCCCGCCTGTAGAATACGGATCAACGCCTTTTTTTCCAAGAAGCAGCTTAACGACATCTTCCCTCGAGTGCATTGCAGATATATGTAGGACATTATAGTTATCCTGAAACAATACATTGAATTAGCAACGTAAATATTTTAGGTCAAATATGTATATGTCCAGAATCAGGTAAACAGCGCAAATAATATCTCGATATCTTCCGCAAAGTTTCACGAGGGACGAGAACAAATTAATTGATATCTACGCCAATCAAGATGTACATCCGTACTTGCAAAAGGTCCGTTATACAAGGTGTTGAAAATTTTCGAAAAAATCCCTGAAACACGTCAACTATAATTTGATAGGGGATGAGTTTTTATGGAAAATTCACCTCCCCCTTTCAACCCTCCAGCCCCCAGAGCCACCACCTAGAAATTGTTAAATGGGAAAGGGGGTCAAGTGATACAGCATTCTGGATGGTTTTTAATTCCATACATTTTGGTACTAAATTTTAATACCTAAGTTCAACTGCCATTTTTTGCAACTTTGACAGGCTGTAAAACCTAATCGGTTGATTTAAGAGGAAAACCGATCTTACATTCTTATCTTAGATTTTCGTAAACTATTATTTGACACCAACTTTGAATTTAACCGGAGAAGAAATTAAATTGGAATTTTCGATCATGGATTAAATTCAAAGTTGGTGTCTAATGATAGTTCATGAAAATCTAAGACGAGAATGTAAGATCGGTTTCCAAAATGACCCCTCTTCCCATTTAAGATTTTCTAGGGGTTGGCTCTAGAGGCTGGGGGGTTGAAAGGGAGGAGGTGAATTTTGCATGGAAACTCATCCCCCTCAAATTATAGTTGACGTGTTTCAGGGATTTTTTCCGAAAATTTTTCTCCTCCCATAATAGGGGTGGTAAGTTTTAGAATGAACACCCTGTATATGTTTTATGTTGTTAGGACCTGAACCAATATTAGAACACCAGATTTGCAATTTCCAAAGTGCTGTGCTAGCGCTAGCGCAAATGTACCCAAAAAATCATGAAATTTGAACTTTTTTCAGTTTTTGCTCATTATCTCAGTGAAGGAAGGGTCTGACCGGTATGCGATTTTACTAAATATAAACTATTACAGCACAAGACAGGCCCCCAACTTCGTCATCGCAAAATATAATCGCTCTCAGCGCGATTTCACTAAATATAAACTATTAGAGCACAAGAGACGCTAGCCCTTGACGTCATTGCAAAATATAATCGTGCTCAGCACATTTCTGCAAAATCTAATCGTTTGCAGCATGACGTAGCGGATCTAACCTCAAATTGAACTTGTTGTTAGAAGGTAATTATTATTGTTAGTGTTGTGTGTTTTCATTATGGATAATTTAATTCAACTTATTAATCCATTGTTTAACAATGGAAATGTTAATATAGTCGAGTATGAAAATCAAAACAATTACGTCAATTACATAGATATACCTAGTACTTCGCTTAAAGTTAAAAGGGAAATCTGACGAAGAGCAATTCCGACGACTTTAACTTGCGTTGCAATGAGTGGGTGAATGAATTTTCAATAATAACAAAGACACAATGGATAGTGAAGAAAACTTTGCCAAAACTGCAGAGATTATTGTTTCGTAAACAATACATGTGCCATCACAACAGCTTTAATACTAATAAATAAATAAATAAAATAAAGGAAAACTAATAAAAGTTCAGCCGACTGCTCGTAGTGGAAGGAAGATACAAAATGTTAAAATGGGAGGAAAAAGAATTCAAAGTGGGAACTGGGAGCTTCATTTATATGAATCAGCCACGTTGTGCTGTCAACGATTAGATTTTGCAGGATTGTGCTGAGCTCGAATATATTTTGCAATGCTAACCTCTCTTGTGCTCTAATAGTTTATATTTAGTAAAATCGCGCTAAGGCCGATTATATTTTGCAATGACAAAGTTGGAGGCGTGTCTTGTGCTGTAATAGTTTATATTTAGTAAAATCGCGACCGGTATAGTCACTCTACATCCTAAAGTAGACTAAATTTAGTACAATTTGAGACCAGGGCAAGCTCTATACAGCCATTGGTTCCCAAGACACAGTTTTCCGAAAAAAAGCCATTTTTTCCAAAAAGTGATTTTTTTTATAAATGAACATTTATTTTGTGAAATATCTTCTAAAATACGCGTAGAAAATTTAATTAGTGTGACATCCTGTACCGTACAACTACAGGGACAGACGATATAGTGACTACGACGCTGCGCATGGCGTTCCAGGATAGCACTACGATTACTATGAAAGACCCACATTGGGAGTCTGCTGTACACCGCCTAACAAGTAACCACGCTGGAAATCCACGTCTTGCTGTCACGTTACCGCTCGCCTAAATCCCTTTTTGTTAACTCGATAGACTTAAATATAAAGTATAAATTAACCTGTATTATTAGCCGTAACGAACCTCGTTTAATTAGAATCACGCTATTCGCCTTTGTCGTCCTACAGATATTACAATCAGCTTAGGGCCAAGATGTTCTCTCAAAAACGGCAGACAACCGAAAACAGTCATAGGTGGGTTTTAAGGGAAATGCAAATCAACACTGTTTTTTTTTATGGTTTTATTTATCGAACAGTTAAAATTTATTTATTTTTGTTGAAAAACTGTTTGATGAAGAGAGAAAAAGATAAGATACCTATCAGGAAACACGTCATCATCAAACATTGTTTCAGATACCTACATACTACAATGCTTGTACGAACATCATGGTACTGTGATGATCCAGAAATTTGACCCGATAATTACAAAGTCTTTACTGTAAAAATTAAATTTTATCAAATAATCAAAATTTAATTCCGGTATTTTTAAATCTGTATCGATAAATTAAAATAAAATAAATTAAAGCTACGTATCTCGACACACAGCACGTGTGTCATCAAAAACTAGATCAATGAACTTTTTTTTCTTAGCCATGGCCAGCATGTTAATTAATTTGATGATATATGGCATTCTTGAACCAATAATGTTTTGACCTCAATAAATCAGATTATTGCGACATAATTAATTGATTTCAGGGTTAAAATGATGAAAAATTCCAAGGAAATTGCATCATCTTAATTGTCATGGACACAGAATTTCGGAGGGGAAACAAAAGATATAAAAACCGCGTTTTTAGTTTCCAGTTAATAGTTGCCAGAAAACAGTTGAGTCGTCCATTTGAGTTGAAGTCTGACCAGTTTCGCGAAAAGTTTCTTTCATGGCTTATGGCCTCGGGTATAATTTAACTTAGAAAATTTACGGAAAATCGTGAAAGTAATAACATTTGAAATTCGTTCAATAAATTATGTGCGTGTTAGCTAAATATTTTGAGTAATTAATTAAGAAATTTTACGTGTGTTTTATGGACAAAATGTAAGTACTTTATAGTGACAAGATCTATTTTTGATGAACATGACTTTGTGTGAATTTTACTAGAAAACTTTTGACTTTTAATTTAACGTTGGAACTTTATTACAATGAAATTAATAACTTGAGTGTTTTATGAAGGAAACATTATCGCATAACTTTAATTACCTTCAGATATAATGACATTTAAATTTGCAATAAAAATATGAAGAGTACTTATAATGCATTTAACAATATTCAATTTTGAGTTGGAATTATGAATTAAACAGTTGGATTTATTAGCTAGGCATAGGAATCCGAAAATAGAATTTGTTCTGATAAACTATTAACTGCAATAGGAAATTTTGAAAAGAAATTTTATGACATAAAATAGAATTGTTTTCTTGAAATATTGGAATGTTATTAAAAAGGAAAATTATAATAGAATTTGTTCTGATTAAATAAACTAATTAAAAGGAAATAGGATGTTTCGAAAATTAAACTTGTTCATGAAATAGAATTGTCTTAAATTATGGGAAAGTTGTTAAAAGAATTTATTGTTCATGAAATGAATTTTGAATTAGGAATTTTATGTTTCAAGTAGAAGTCATTGCAAGAATTTATGAGAATAAATTAGTTGATAAACAAATAGGTAATTATCTTGGGTTTTCATAAATAAAGGACTTAGAGATTTTAAAGAATTATTTGATTAGGTAAGGGATAGTTATTACGAATGATTCGGATGTAGTAAAAATGAGTTACATTATAATTTATGAGAAATAGTATGAATAGGGCGTTTCTTATTTAGTAGGGATATTTCAGTGGTCCGTAAAATAACAATATAGAACGGATGTGAAGTATTGCCTTTATAGAAATAAAAGAAGGATGTAAAGTATTGGAAGATATTTGGCAGATTTTTGGGTTTTATGTGAAATAAAATATAATTTAGTACACCTCATTAGTTTGTTTCTCTCTCTTGCAAATAGACCCTCTTCCACAGATTTTAGATAGCAAGCTCCAAGTATATATAAACACCATCAATAGACCGCTCGCCATTTACCATCTAACTATTTACATAGTGTACTTGGGGCGTTTTGCTACAGTACCTACTAAAGGGTGTTCCAATAAGAGTTTCCGGATGTTTTTTTCAATTCAAACGAAAAGCAAACTAGGAAAAATTTAATACTTTATAGCAATAAGTAACATGATCGTTTACAATTATACGTGAAACACAATATCCAACAAATGGCCACTGCGACTTCTCTCACAGCACACAATTCTTTTGCCAAAATTTTCGATAGCAACTGTGCACCGAATCTCATCTTGAACTCTTGAATTGTTTGGGGATTGTTCACATACGCTTTATTTTTCCAACAAGACAGCGCAACATGTCACACAGCAAGAGAAACCATTGACTTATTGCAAACACGGTTTGAAGGTGAACTTCTTTCAAGAAATGGGGACGGTAATTGGCCACCTAGATCTTGCGATCTAACGCCACTATACTTTTTTGTGGGATTACATCAAAAGTAAACCGTATGTGCACAATGCCCGAACAATTCAAGAATTGAAATATGAGATTCAGCGCATTATTCGTGAGATACCACCGGAAATGTGCACAGATGTGATCGAAAATTGTGTGCTGTGAGAGAATTGGCGATGACCATTTGTTGGATATTTTTGTTTCACGTATAATTGTAAACGATCATGTTACTTATTGCTATAAAGTATTAAATGTTCCCTAGTT